AGACCCTAGGGAGAGGAGGTTTGGGGTAGGACCAGAGGATCTTTTCTTCAACTTCTATTCTGGGAAAGAGATTGACAAGAAAGTGGGCTGGAATTAGATAAAAAGATTGCTTTAATAGTCCATAGACTGGCTATTAGTGACCTTGGTCTCTGTTGTTCTATTTTTCATTATTTAATCCAGAGTGAGGATAAACAACTTACTTCCCTGGCTTTAGACCCTTTCTTATTTCACTGTATCGACACCATCCTGTCATCTCTGTGTCCTGACAGTGGGGAGGAGACAGGAGACTGAAAGCACACCCTTGTCCATCTGACGATGCTCCACTGTTGGGGGTTATTAAAGGGGAGAGAGGGGAGGGGGTGGAAGCAGGAGACACTGGGAAGAGAGGCAGCAAAGTGCTCCCGGGTCATTTGCATTGGCTCAGAAGTGAGAATGTAGAACTAGGACCTTTAAGATTCTCTGCAATCTGGCTTCCACCCGTCTCTCCAGCTGCCTCTCACTTCTTACCTTCCCAAGTCCTTGACTCCAGGTGTACACACCTCATCATCATCCCTTTGCAGAAACCCCTGGAGATCAGCTACCCAAAAGCCATCCTGAAAAATTAGTCTCCTCTGCTGCTCCCCATGATAGAGGCTGGAAAGCCAAATACACACGCTTTCCCTATCACCACTGCAAGTATGGATGGCTCCTAGTGTTTAGTTCTGGCCCCTTAGATGTAAGTGGAAATCTGCTGGGGCAACTTCTGGGAAAGCTTCTGCTTCCTCATAAAATGGGACAGTTAGTACTTATACAGCTTTTTCTCTCCTCTTTTCCTGTCCTGAACGTGGATGAGATGGCAGGTGCTTGCAGCCATCTTGCCACCATGAGGGAAAGAGCAAGGCAAGTGCAGAGACATAAGCATTAAGCCACTGAACCTATCTCCAGCTGTCCTACTCCATGAGAAAATAGAATTTTATTAGTTTAAGCTATTGTTGGTTTAGTTTTCTGTGGCAGCTTAGTTCATTCTTAATGATAATGTGACCCTGAACTGGGTGCTGGGGACATAATGGAGAACAAAGCAGGTCTGGGCCTCTTTCCTATCAAACTTATCATTTTATGAGAGATGAAAAAAAAAAGGAAATGAGGAAGCCCCAAAATTACAAATGGTGGAAACTTCAGCCAAAATGCACATTGATTCTTTCACTTCTGTCCTCTTCACTTAATGAAACTGGACCCCAGCTTTTTCTAATCTCATCTCATCACCCTGAATAAACCCTCTGGGATCCTGCAGCCGCCAGGGTAGTGCATCAGGGTGCTGTGACTTTTCTTCTTGGTCTATTTTTGTGATCTCTGGAAACTTTCGTGGCCCACAGCTGCAGATAGGTTCCCCATCTTCTTTTTTTGAGGGGTGGGCTGGGAGGGTAATTAGGTAAAATTTTTTTATTGCTCTTTTTAGTGGAGGTGCTGGGGACTGAACCCAGGACCTCGTGCATGCGAGGCATGTGCTCTACCCCTGAGCTGTACCCTCCCCGCCATCTTCTGATCATGGAATCACCATGACACAGTCTCTGTAAATGTGGTGTATGTCCTCCTATTCCAGGATCTTCGGGTTTGTATTCTGAAGGACTTTGGAACTCTAAACGTAGGATTCCAGCAGCAGTGAACACCATCAATCGTATCTAGACGACTGCGGGAATCCTGGAAATAATTATACTTAGGGAATTGTCTCAGCTGTTTAAGTCAAAGATCTTTATTTTCAGTTTCTTTTTAAAGAAATCTTTTATAAGAATCACAGATGAGAGATCACGCATAAATCACATTTCCCCCCTGATAACAAAATGGTAGTTTCAGTGATTCTTAAAAATCAGTTTTTAGTGATCCAGAGGGCTAAGGAAATACTGCTGGGTTTTTCTGGTCTACCACAGAATTTTCTGTCATTTAGAAGGACGCATGTCTATTTTGGGTGTATTATTTCCCATCATGAGAAAAAGAGCCTCAGTATCTGGAATATATTGATTTTGGAAAATTGGCAGTGGTCGGTTGGCTCTGAAGGAAAGTCGGTTACGACGGAGCTGCACGGGAAGGTCTGCTCCCTCCTGGGATACGTGGTCACAGAAGCAGGCATCCAGGAAGCTCCGGCTCAGTGAATTCCTCATGTCTTCACCAGCCAGACCTCGTTGCGACGACCGTAGGGCTTCATGGGAGGGTCATACCCGGTGCAGAAGTACATGTCACTCTTGTAGCTGGCTGTGCCCTCCAGGGCCGTGCGCAGCTGGGCGGCGCGCGCTATGTAGTCCGCTTCCTTGGCATAACCACCGAACTGCCTGCGGGCACAGAGCAAGGGGAAGAAAGGACGCGGTCTCTGAGAGAAGGGGCAGCTTTCAAAAAAGAAGCCACTCCCCACTCTTGTTATGACGAGCATGCTACAGTGGGACGATTCCCTTCCTACAGGGGGCACTGAACCTCACTGAGCTTCAGGGCCTCGTTGGTAAAACTGGGATACACTTTCTTTTTCCTTTAAGGTGGCTGGGGGCATTGAAGACGATCACGGATGTAAAAAGCTCTGACGCAGAGCCTGGG